AAGTAAAGTCCTCTTGCATCCGGATTGTAACGTATCAACAGAAGCTGAAATTCGGTTCCTGTTAAAAAATAAAAAAGTAAATTTAATTAATCAATTGATAATTTTATACATTAAAAGAATTAGTGAAACAAAATATTAAAGATGATACTTATCCCATGTTTATACAATAACAGTAACGGTAAAAGGATTTGATTTAACCAAGCCCAACGGCTATGCATTTGAGTTGAAAATGGCAATCTATTTTAATAAATTTACGATCAAACCAATTCGATTTATTTAATATGTACCTCTATAAAAGGACAATCAAATAAAAGAAACCTGATTAAGTTTTACTTTACAATATTCTATCATGATAATATTTTTTAACGTAAGAATCTATAATATTTATCTGAATATCTCATGCCTTAATAATTTTCTATTGAATGTTTCATGCCTTAATAATTTTCTATCGTGTTTTATCTCATTATCAATAGCACTTATATCAGTGTAGCTATGTTATCTATGAATACATTAATAAGTAATGGAAAGGAAACATGTAAATTGATTAAAACTTCTGAAATAACAATAGATTTTTGGAGTTAAATCCATTAAGGTAAAAATCTATTAATTCACAAAAATTTTTTTTTTACCGTATCATAATACTAACCCTAAAACTTTTTAAAAAAACTGATTCAAATTAATAAATGTTAACATAGTTGACATAATTTCAAATAAAAAAATAAAAGTTAATCATATTATATATTGTAAAAAACATATATAAAGTGATATTTTTTCGCTAAAGCTATCTTTAAACTACTTTATCTTTACGATATTGTCTTATTATACTCTATTTTAAAGTTTGATCATGCCAAAGTCAAAACGTAAAAATGCTGCAAAAGAACGTATACTTACACAAGGCAGAGATAATGAAGGAAGGTTTTCAAAAACCATAGACGCAGAAAGTAGTGATTCAGAATATAGTGATCTGAACTTTTAATTTTTGAATCCGAGAACAATAATGAGGAAGAACTTGATAATGAGATAAAACCTAATGAAGAAGAAGCTAAACGGTTAATTAATGAAGACAATTCTTTTTATAACTTAAAGTGGGATAATAATGCAGCTGGTGGTCAGTTACCATATTATTCTGGTGGTTCAAAACGTACTCAGCAACGTAAAAATAAAGAATTACGGAAGGCAGCACAAGGATCAATAAGTTTGGATAATTTTTTTAAACTAAAAACAAAATTAGATATTAAGTATGAAATGTCAGACTCAAATACAAGCGATTTAGACATAACAAATGACAATTCTATTTCAAAACAGTTAAATAAATTAAATAACACACTTAATAATATGAAGCATATGAATGCTTATGAATACCTTCGCCATCTAGCTGTTCATAAATATCTTACCAAAATTTTTGACTATGAAAAGCCACAATCTCATATAGAATTAAGTCTTGAAATATCGCAACAAATCTTTCAACGTGGTCCATGGATGGCGCGTCGAATTCTAAGTGGTCAAAAGGTTGGATAGCATCAGGGACCATACCTGCCTCTAGACAAGGATAACGAAAGTACATATCAACGCTTATTGATGACGAAGACATACAAAGCTCTTGCTTATGTTTTATCCGTACTATTGGTGATAGGATAACTGCAGAAAAATTTCAAATTTATGTTAAGAACAATATTTTACCACATACTACTGGCTCTCGCACATCAATTTCATTAGAAACAGCTCGAACTTGGCTTTGTCATCTTGGCCTTGTATATCAATCACATCAACAAGGAGTTTACTATGATGGACACGAACGTCCTGATGTTGTACAATATTGTGTTGTATTTCTTGAAAGAATGAAAATTTTTGAACAATTAATGCCACAATATGTTGGCGAAAACATGGAAATAATTATAAATCCTGAATTATGTAAAGGAGAAAAAATGCATATTTTTGTTACTCATGATGAGTGTACATTTTATGCTAATGATGGTCGTCCTTCAGTATGGGCTCCTCTTGGTATGCCGCCATTACGTAAAAAGGGAATAGGTAAAGCACTAATGATTTCAGAATTTTTGACTGAGACTCATGGTCGCCTTACAATTACTTCCGAAGAAATAAGTGAATTAAACCTGCCATCAACATTTCCACAAGAAGCTCACGAAATTATCAAACCCGGAAAGCATGATGATGGTTGGTGAAATGCTTCTGATTTGCTTACACAAGTAGCTAATAAAGCAATTCCTATTTTCGAAGCAATTCATCCAAACTGCATTGGTGTCTTTGCATTTGATAACAGTACCAACCATAGTGCTTTTGCAAGTGATGCGTTATGTGCTAAAAAAATGAACCTTTACCCCGGTGGTAAACAGTCAAGATTACGTGACGGCTGGTTTATTAATACACAAGGTGAACAAGTTACTCAGTCAATGATTTTTCCTGAAGACCTTCCTCTCGATGATCCTAATTATGTCTTTCGCAATCAGCCAAAGGGGATTCGTCAAGTACTTCTTGAGCGCAATTTATGGCCTACTAGTGGTTTAAAACTAAAGTGTGAAAATAACTATTATGATTCAAATACACCTAATTGTTGTGCGCATCATCTTTTGTCTGCACAACCTGATTTTGCTATGCAAAAATCAGCATTAGAAGAACTTATTGTTGAACAAGGACATGTTTGTATATTTTATCCCAAGTTTCATTGTGAGCTGAATTTCATTGAGCGATACTGGGGCACTGCAAAACGGTATTCACGTGATCATTGTGATTATTCATGGGCAAGGTTACAAGTTACTGTGCCTGAAGCACTTGACACTGTATCGCTAACAACTATACGTCGTTTTGTACAAAAGACATAGCGTTATATGGATGCTTATAGATGTGGACTTACTGGCCGGGTAGCAGAATATGCTGTGCGTAAGTATCGTTCTCATAGACGCATACCGAATGAAATTGATTTAGAGTTAAATTAAATGCTAA